AAAAAAAAACTCCGCAGGTGACACCAGAGGAGCTGAACGCACAGACAAGTCTGGCGAGATCACAGTCTCAGCAACCAACTCATCCGAGTCTGAGTTACTTGGGGACAGCGGAGCAGCAACGGACGACGGCGGAAGCGAAGGTAAGCGAACGGAGACAGCCGGCGAGAGTAGCGCGACGCAACGAGGAGTTAAGGCAGCCGTCTTGGGCGCCTACGATACATCGTTTAGCAGCGACGTGGGCGATTGGGAGCCCAGGAAGTTGTGGAGCTCCTCCTCCGTGATGTCGCCGAGCACGTCGTGCTGGCAATTATCTTCAGGCGCAGGTGAAGGTGTCGACAACGCTAGCAGCAGCGATAAGGTCAGGCACGAGGCCGTAGTCAAGTTCGGCCGCCACGCTTCCCTGAAGTGGCGGCACAAGCACTCCTTGGTTGGAACTTTGCTGGACCATGGTTCTAACCGGTGGCAATCTCAGAGAGGGACCAGCTCTGCCCGTATCTAGCGTCGTTCGAAGCATCGATACTTTGGAGCCGTACAGATGCCACCAGGACCGTGTTGGCTCACCCGAGCAAATTTCCGAATGGCTGGCTATCCCTGAACGGACGACTTCTGGGGGAAGGGTGAGTGTAACAGGTATTACTGTGTTTTAGAATATGATTTAGGATAGGATATATTACTTTGCAAACTTTAGTATAAACGCAGAGTAGGGCAGTCTATGGGAGCTCCGCTCTCAACTGCCCGAACTGTGCGGGGCGGCAACCTCATCACTTCTCGTTTTGGCCGCCCCTGCAAAGAGCATCTCCCCCTCATCTGCATCACAACTGATAAAGCAGGTCTTTATTGACCCTGCTTCCAACAAATCCATGTGCTGCATGCAGTGAATTATGTTCCAAAAATATAACTGCAAATTAACATTTTTTGATACTATTTTTTTCCAGCGAAAATGTGCATTATTGTGCTCGTACTTACGTAGAGTGTTTCTTACCGTAGCTTTGTGATAGCCATCTTTGATTGCTAGCTGTGGAGATAATAACATACCACGAAAGTATACACGCGTGAAAGCGGGCGCTAATTGTATGATTCTACCTGCATCAAACAAACGTGGTAGCGATGATCCATTCGGATAGAATGGTGTGCTAAAAGCAACAACGTAAGCGGGTGATGTCGTTCCAATAATTATCGCTCTTAGTTTTATCCACGTTTTTATTTTAAGGCAAAGATTCTTCTTTGTACTTCTTTTTTACAATGCAAACAGCAGATCGCTCAAGATTCATCTCGACGTGATGCTGGTTGCTACCGTAAATCTATGTTTCATCATGAAGAACCGAGGCGCTTCTTCTTAAAAGGGTTAACCCTTTCACTATCATTGCGTATTGACTTCGAGGCCACGCTTAAGCGAGTCGTGATCTTGCTGACACCAGAAGTCTTGATCGTGGGGAAGCCCACCAGCGTGCATTCACATGTTGCTTCTGGTGCGTGACGGCGTCGAAGTTGAACCACAACAGCAACCGCTTCTGTACAGTTCAAAAAGCCGCTATCGGTGGTACGATTTGCAACCAAATGAAATGTTCCTGTCTGAGTGGGATCATTGCCCGAAACAGAACAAATAAAACCCAATTTCTGAATGTGAAAGAGTCAACACCACTCAATTTAAAGACAGCTGGACTTGCTTTGAGCTCGCCAAGAATCGCCGCCTTAAAACACTAAAATTATCTTAGAGCGATATGGAGGTCATCTCAAGAAAGCAGACAACCCAGGTTAGCGTGTGTAAGTGCGCTTGTCACAAACCTAAAATTGCTCTTATGCATTGTAATCGGATCGTCGCGATCTGGGTCACTACTATGGTGATGGTCCAGAAAGGTAGAACGATAAGTCATAGCTGGGTGACCGGGGTATATCAACGACTCATTGGTGCACCGGTATCGGATAGGGGTCTCCAACAACTGGTTCAAATGGTGAGCGGTACAAAAGTGACGCGTAGGAAGGACGAACAGCGAGAGAGGCATGATTCGCACCGCGAACGAGTGGGGAGGGCAGTGCACGAAAAAGTGGTATTCAGTAAGCTTGTTAGAAACGGGTAAAGTGCAGACTAGTCAACTAAAGTATCTGGTCCTGACCCTAGCAGAACAACTGTAGAGGTTGGATATAGTATATACTAGCTATATACAGCAATCCCGCAAAACACATTCAGCCCAAGTAGTGATGCACATCGCGGTGGCGTAGACTGATGGGCGGTCAGCTTGAGCTGCGCGAGCAATCGTCTCGCAATTAAAACCTAATTACGGATATATTCGTCGAGCATGATCGAGCATGAGTTAGGATTGGCCCCGGTAGCAATGACGCCCACCGTCTCTACAAGGGGATCGTCTTGTAGTTACAGCTATACACATCAGATCTAACCAAGAGGGTACAGCCACCCTCGTGAAAACTTCGACTATTGATGCTGTTGACCGAGTAGAGAATTAAAATCGAAGTAATGGAAGTTCAAGGGAATTTGGCTGTCAAAATCTGATTACGACTGAGCGGTTGAAGCAATTGAAGCAGTTGAAGCGGTTGAAGCGGTTGACATCTTGGCGCAGTTTGTCCGGCATGAATGCATGACAACTCGCGGTCGGAGACTCCGAGCACTGCAACTCCGACTCGGAGCCGAAGTTCATTTTCAAATTTGCGACTTTCCAGCAACCCCCCCCCCCCTATCACGTCGAGATGAACACCGTGCTTCTGCTCGCCCTCGCTGCTATTGTGACCACCGCAGACGCGGCCGCTCCTGCTGTCCCGACGGACCGTATGGACCAGTTCCTCCAAGAAGGGGCCGCTCTTCGGTCCGAGTTGAATGCGTGGAAGCAAAGCGAGGCTGGGCAGTACGCTAAGGAGCATGGCTTCCTTCCCACTCCGTCCTCGAAAAACACGACCGACGAGGAACTGCGTCGTTTCTTCCTCTCGAAGCTGTTGGTCGAAGATGCTCAAGCGGCGAACCCGGATGCAGTTTTCTCCACTGACACGCCGTTTACGCTGCTGACGCACGAGGAGTTTGCCAAATTTATTGGAGAGTCCTACCAACGCGACTCTGGAGCTCTCAAGGCCACTTCGTTCGCTGATGAAGTGCCGCTGAACTTGACTGCTTCCCCTACTGACAAAGACTGGACTACTTCGGGGTGTGTTGCTCCAGTCAAGAACCAAGGCGATTGCGGTTCCTGCTGGGCATTCGCAGCCGTGGCCGCTCTCGAGAGCGCCATTTGCCTCTCTGGCAAGCCTCTCACGCTTCTGTCGGACCAGCAAGTGGTGGACTGCGACAAGACTTCGTATGCTTGTGACGGAGGCTGGCCCAGCACCGCATTGACCTACATTCAACAATCCGGTGGCGTCTGCACTCAGGAAGCCTACCCGTACGTGTCGGGCGACTTGGGCTATCATCAGACGTGCAAGTCGTCTTGCAGCCGTGAACCGGTGAACATCCGCAAGGTGGTGGCGGTTCCTCGTACTGATGCCGGATTGGTCCAAGCCATCAGCGCTCAACCCGTGGCTGTGGGTGTCGCGGCTGACAACCCCACGTGGAAGCAGTACAAGAGCGGCATCGTGTCCTACTGCTCGACGACGCAGCTCGACCATGCTGTGCTGGCTGTGGGCTACTCGCCGTCCTTCTTCAAGATCAAGAACTCGTGGGGCACGCAGTGGGGCGAGGATGGCTACATGCGACTCAAGCGCGGCGCCGGCACCAGAAGCACCGGCACGTGCGGCATCATCGGTCCCTTGTCCGTCTACCCTCAACTGTAGATGAGCTGACAGATAGCCAACTTCAACGTTTATGTTGAATTGTTCGTGACCTCATGTTTCTAACAGCAAAAACAATCACTTTTGAGTTTAATCTTGTTTTTGGATGCTTGATCTGGAAGAGAGGCAAATATATTCTCATCCAATATGGCAACGAAAAGTTATTTGTGGCGCATTGGCCCTTCGTGCCGTGGTAGCAGACATGTTACGCTCAACGTGACACTCAACATCACTGCGACTGCTGCGTTTACTGGTACTGTTGGTGGCTCTGGTGGTGTGCCATGTGATCTCGAGTCGAGATTCTCGGCACGTGTATCCATCTCCATCTTGTTCGAGATCGGTAAGGATGAAGTGAGAGAATACATGGACAAACTCAACATACTCAACATGCAATGCGGCCTTCAATGACCGTGAAGCACGAATAGCATGAGTTAGAGCAAACTGTGCTGACATTCATTTATTCATTTACACATACATATTCCCCCTCGTAAGCGCTAAGTAAGAACGTCAGCTGACAAACTTTCCTCATAATGTTTTACTGTTTCCATCTTTACTCAGGGAAGATCGGTATTTTCTAACTAATATACTGCTGGTATACTGAACAATTGCTGTTGAGTGTTGGCACCTATTTTAGTAAAAATTGGTCTTTTCGGAGCAGTGTACTCCGCAGAGATTTTACAACCCATTAACTAAATGGTAGTGGCGCTTGTGAGCGACGTTTGTAAACGTATCTGTCTATTTGCAGCGACACCAGACCCACAGGGTTTAGGAAAAACAATCTTTTGATGTGATCTTCCCATTGCTCGTAGAGAATAATTATCGAATAATACTCTATACCCAAGAAGTACCCTCATCGACTACCCATACAGTAACCTCACTAAAATTTGTACTAGAGCTGTGAGAAGGCAGGGACAGGTGCCTCACCATTTTATTAAACATTATTTTCTGAGCTTACGCGAATAATCAGAGACCTACAATACGTTCTCTATGGCTAAGAAATAGAGCTTTTGAGAGGTGGAGAGGAGCTTTTAAAAAAAATGCTATATTTTCCCTTGTTGGAAGATAAAATATGTTATTATTATTTTCGTTATCATAGTCCGTAGTATGCATTCAATGTTTGAGTGATCAATAGTATGGTATTTAGACTAACTATTGCAATAAGTATGCTAAGCCGTCTTCGGTTCACACTTGCATTTTGAAAGTACGAGTATGGCCAAAGTGTCCCTCACATTTCAACCTCCCCCCCCCCCCCCCAAGCGCGAGCACCTTTGGTTACGCCTATTTACCGAAACCACATACACGATAGATTCTATTTCCAGGACGGGCATCCTTACCCAAGTCAATATAAAAGCAAACGTGTATGAGTCACAGCCGGGCCGCCTCTGTATGTATTTTTTTGTGTATTTATCACGAAAATGTGTATCCCCCATATACGTTATTGTTGTTAAATATACCTACATTATCGGCCATTTGTTACCGAAGTTGTATTTCTGGGATTTACGGGTTTTGATTGGCTAGATGGTTCGTATTAACCCGATTTGAGGCTGGTACCACGCATAAATTTGGGGTGCCGTTTCCAACCTTCGTTGCAACCATTGCATGAACGACCGACTTTTGCAACCGTATCATACAAACAGCAAGTCAGCCCCAGCATAGTAAAATGAAGTTAGGGTTGCAAACGCAGGGGTGCAAATCGCCATAGTGAAACCAAGGCAAGGTTGAAAACGCATTTTTAGCACAACAGAAATCGCCGATCATGGCTCAAGGCACGCGGCGCTACACTACAGGAAAGTGAAGTTCGTGCTGCTAAAGGACTACAAGGATCACAGTGGCTAGGGCTCGAGCTGTGTCCAGCGTCATGTCCACGGGCTCTAGGACCACGGTACTACAGGGTGGCGGTATCGTGGACACGACACCACACGTAGCAACGGAGATGACATGTACAAACCCATCGCCAAGGCGGAGATGCTCATGCTGGTGCAAGGCCGTTGACACGGCGCCGGACAAAGCTGAGGCCAAGGTCCAAAAAAATTACTTCTATTTAGATAGGGCTAGGTTAATACCTCAATTTTAGCAGAATAATGAATCCAATTTATACAGCAAATTATGCCGGTAGTATGGATTTCGTCCAATCACAGAGCATCAATGCAACCTACCTTTAATGGACCCAAGCAAGTAGTTCTTAACAGAGAAAGTCCGAATGGCTGGCATTCTACCTGCCATTCGAGACTTTCCCATCATCAACGAACTTTGAAAATGACTTACTCACTAGACATGCGCTGGCGAGCAATTGTGCTCATGTACGTATATGCTGTCGATGCAGCGACTGTAGCTACTGTACTAGGTTTATCAGAACGTAGCTTAGGTCGGTGGTACAGCCGGTTTCGAATGACAGGAAATGTTCTTAAAGACAAGCCACGAGCCAGAGGCTCCCGCTGGCCTCCCCTTGTCTGTAACTTTGTACAGCAATACGCACAAGACCACCCGTGTTTCTATTTCGAGGAGCTGCAGTACGAACTACAAGCTCTCTTCAATGACACTATCAGCCTGTCCGACTCAACAATATGTCGGGCCCTTCGCTTCGACCTAAATTTAACGAGGAAGGTGTTGACAAAGCGAGCACGGGAGAGCGTACCAACAGAGCGCCGAGAGTTTGTGGCTCGGTTGGCATCATACTATAGCGGGCCGGACCAGCTCGGCTTTATTGACGAAACATACAAGGATGGAAGGTATATCATATTTCGATCTGACTTCATATTTTAACTAATTGCTTTTATTTTTTGTTTTTTTTGTATTGATTTTAATATTAAGATCCGTTCTGCGTCGGTACGGCTGGTCGACAAGAAACACCCCAGCTCAAGTGTCGATTCCTTTTAGCCGTGGCAAACGTGTGTCAATGCTTGCTGCAATGGATGTACAGGGATTTTTTTTGCGTGGGGAGATACGGAGGGAACTTTACACGAATGGAGTTCCACATAGTTGTCAAAGAGAAAATCCTTCCGTTATTGAACCCATGGCCTTCGCCACGTTCCATTGTCATCATGGACAATGCTAAGATACACTTGTACAAGGAACTGCAAGAGCTTGTCGACATTACTTGGGCTTTGCTGTTTTTCTAGCCACCGTATTCGCGGGATCTTCATCCAATTGAAGTTGGATTCTTGCTGCTCAAACGCTGGATCCAAAGATACGCCAACATAGCATTTCGAGAAGACCCATTGGCTGTCCTGAATGTTGCGATGTACACATGCGCAAGTCAAAAAGAAGAAGTTGGTGAAAAGCTTTATAGCCATTGTGGATACAAACCCAATCAATTGTCCATCAGCAATTAACGAATAGATTCTCCTTTTCTAATGCTCCATCCACTGTGAGGTCTCGTCGTCATGTTCTAGATCTTCAATGTTATTTGTAGGTGCAGTTGTATCAATATCTGTCGGCAGCCTAAATGGAGGTCACAAACCGTAGTTGATTAGGCTAAGAGCTTCCCAAAGATCGCTGATATTTACCTGCAAAGGTGAGGCAACGCCGTGGAGCTTCACTCGCACGATACGGTACTCCTCCTCACACTGCTGCTGTGTCTCGTTCAGGGATTGATCTATCGCTGCTTGCTGACTGTCTATGTATGTATGAGCGGAACATGACGTTATCTGGAATGGCCATCGGTGCTTCGTCCGGTAGGCGCGTTTGAGTGACAGCTATATAGAGCTGTGAAGCAGGTCCAGCTTCAACTTGGTGCTCCGGCAGCATGGCTTCCGCACCAGATAATCCCCCGCTGAATTTCAGTGCTGTAGAGGCTCAACACTTTCTCTCTTGGATTTTGTCAATGAAGAACAAGAATGGAGGTTATCATTCATTTTCAACCTACGCGGGTCATCGCTCAGCACTGTGCAGTCTTTTCCGCGATTACCACTATACAATGCCACCTCAGTTAGAACGGGAGCTGAGCTGCCATTTCAAAGGCCTTCAGCATCGAATAGCGAGTGCTATTAGTAGCGGAGATGGCCCTATCAAAGTTGGTAAGGACCCGATGACGTTCCGTCTATAACGTAGTATTGCGATGAAAATGATGAGATCGACGTCGCGCGAAATATTTTTTTTGCGTGAGCGTTTCTAATACTATCGTGGACTCTGATGGGAGAAATTAATGCAACCAGAAAAACGGTCCTGGATCCGAAAAAATGTCCTGCAATTTAGGACTATTTGTAGGACCAATTCATGACTTGCAGGACATTTTTTCGGGTGTATTAAGGATACGTTACCCAATTTGTAATGTCTAAGTGAGGGCGATAGCGCTCCGGACCAACTAAGGTGAGCGGGTGTGAGGCGCGTAGCCATAGCAAACCCGCGCGGGGAGCCCGCGAAGCAGGGCCGCGCGGTATTTGCGCAGGCGGGCCCAGCGCCGAGCTCACCAACGAGCCGCGCGCTAAACACTCTAGTACATCCTATCTTTATATCGCGAGCGAAGCGAACCGCGGGGTCGCCGAAGGGGCGCCCAGCCAAGCGAAGCGCGGCTGGTCACTTTTTTTGTTGCTGTATTGGTACTCTTCTATATAATTAACTCACCTAAAAATGGGGAATGCACCTAAATTTAGGACACTTTGTACGACACTTTCAGTGTTTGCAGGACATTTTGTAGGACATAGTTGTAGGACATATTTTCGGATGCAGGACCATTTTTCTGGCTGCATTAATGGCATTCGACTCTGATGTCTCGGTCTGCCAACACTGTATCGCTGTGCTACAATCACATGGAGTGGGGAGAGGACGCACTAAAAGGGTTTTTTGCTCACATGAAGAATGACCAACGAGGTACGCGCCCTCGAGACCCCCGGCACATCTACGCAATCCCACCGATGCCAGAGGTCTGCCCAATCTTCGCCATAGGTATGTATGCATCTACTATATTGTCCCAGTTCTGATATATTATCATCTACATATCGATAGGTCTCTACCGGATGGTATATGGCGTCGATTCAAACGTGATCCAAGTATTTCCTGGAAACGACCAGTACGACCGCTTCCGTAAAACCCTTCGTCGGGTGTTAGAGTCCGCTGGTCTGAAAAACGAGTTAGACCGCGTTGGCGTACGCTGTGGTGACATTGGTACTCATTCTATGAGAAAAGAAGCTGCTACCTATTGCTCTTCAGGCTCAACAGCATGCCCATCAGCAATAGCAGTGCACTTACGGACTGGATAAGCTCTTGGTGGTGTCCAAGACCGATATTTACGACACAATTCGGTTGGTGATATGTTTGTTGGTCTCACGGTGTCCGGTTTGCCAATCCATAAATCTGAGTTTGCAATTCCTTCACCCAGGTTTTAAGGCGAGCGATATCAAGGTGAGACGGCAATACGAAGTTGCTTTCGTGGTTTGCCCCCGAACATCTCATTAATTGGCGAATATGCTCTAGCGTCTATCGGCTACCACTACCTGTACTTGAAAGAACACCTTCCTCAAGAACACACAATTTTTCAAGCGCCTTTGATGCGAAACGAGCTGAAAATTCAAGAATTGAAGGAATTTATTATCTGTGACGAGGCCAGCAGTGAAGAGACAAACACTGCCACTGGTGTTCCACCGAACGTTGTTTTATTATCGGAATTTCAATCGTTAAAGAACGTGGTCGCGCTCGGAGCAGCAAAATGTAGCTTGTGAAGTTATTGAGGGTATTCGCTTAGTTTTAGACGAAGCAGAGGAACACCGGGGTACTCCAAGTTGTTCCCGGATTGCAACTACAGTATTCAACTGTCTTAAAGAGGGAGGATACCTGTGTCAACGACCTGAGCCGATAAAACTAGCTGAGCCCAATACAAGCATGGACAATATTCATTCACCACCACCATCTTCCGGCTACACAGGGCTTTCACGCGTTTCCGGAGGGTATGACCCTGCCTGAGGGGGCCGCTGACCAAGCCTGGATATTCTGATGTTGTGGTGATCCATCACGTTCTCTGCCTCCGTTTCGGCGACTGAAGAATGCGGATCTTAGTGACAACAAGCAAAAAAACGACTGTCAGACCTTAAGTTCCTGGTGAACTTGGTGGAGCAGCGGGCTGTAACACTAGGCATTGATACCGGATCACTCACCGTCGAAGAGGCCGTGTCAGTGTTCCACAGATGTGAAGAAGTACTGGCTGTTCCTGAAGTTACTACTAAGGCACGCAAACAGCGATGCAGCCAGCTAGTCTGGCAAATAGTTACATCAATCATGCGTAAGAAGGTGCGGAGAGCGTTATAATAACAATAACAACATAATACAGCCTTCGTGTTCGTACAATGAAGCTGATCCTCTTCTTGGTTCACTTGGTCTGTGCTGCTCTCACTGCAATATTAAATGTATACCCCCTTGAATGTAACCCCTCCGGTAAAAAGCCATAACCCTCCAGTAAATTCTGCCCACAAGTAATTATATGCAGGATCATTTAGCAGAGAATCGCTATCGCCACCACTCAGTGCAACATCACCGACTTTGAAGTGCTCTGGTGGATTTAGTTCGGCCATGACGAGCTGTAGAATGAGTGCGGCGTACTGCGTATGACTTCATGTGGGGTTATGTGATGCAGTGGCTTACTCGTACTGGCAGAAGCTAGCGATCGCAACTAAGGTGAACTAAAAAACCGGCAGTGATGCATCCACGTACTAAGTGCGGTGAAATACTGGTGTTCTTCTTTTCTTAATAATTAGAGAGAAATGTGAGACCAGAATTCTCAAAAGCCGAGCTTTCAAGTCAACTAGCTATTACTACAACGGTGTTTTGAAAAAACTAGATTCGTATCTTGAATAATGATGATTTAAACAAACGACCAGTAACTACACCATAATCCATCGAGACTCTGTCCATTTTCAAGCAGATACCATAGGGTGTAAAACTCCTAAAAGGCACGCTAAACAGTCATTTTGAAAATAATCATCGTCACTAGTGTATGTGGCCATTTGGAGTGCAATGGTAGCATTTAAGTCTTATTTCAGGTGTCGAATGACGCGATAGTGCTCTAAAAGGCTTTGCATTTATCTCGAACTAGCATTTGAGTCTTTATCCGATCAATAATGGCCGTCATGACGGCCTGCGCAAATGGGCCGCGAGCCACACCCTCTTTGCTGGCTGCATCGTCGATTTTTCAGCGTTGTGCACATGCGACCATAATAGCCAATAAGGGGGTCGGCTTCTTAAATGAAAAGGCCTCGATAATGCTGACCGATACTCTACTACAGTAAGTATCTCGTCCACAGCAAACCATCACCCGGTTTTTGTGTGATGCTAACTCCTTGGTGGCAGCTTGAAATTAGTGAAAATCTGGTATTGAGTTTCACCTTCGCCTCAATGGGCCTAGCAAGTGCGAGAGAGGTCGTCCCTGCATGGATTCTTTCTCGGGTCGTATCCTGGCCTACGGGTCAGGAGGTGGGACACGTATTCCGCCTTGGCTTCGACTCCAGCCGTCAGCAGAGCCGCGAGAAGAACAGTAGCAGCGATGAGAGCCTGGACGACCTTCATTTTCAGTTGTAAGGATTCTTGTGAATGGTGGGTAGCAGTTGATTTGCCGCTCAGGAGTCGAATTGTAAAATGACTTTAAGGATTTCAATTGCCCAAGTTGTGCGTACTTCTCAGATTTATGCCATCACGAGATCCGTTAGACGAAGGCTCACATGCCGCTACTACCACATCAAGAGGCAATATTGTGATCATTTTCGCTGCGAAATTCCATCACGGGTATGAACAATCAAGAAAAATATTATTGAAACTCGTGCACTGTGCTCACTGTCAAAAGTGCTTTAAACAAGCTAGATGATGCGTAATGTATAGGCTGGTTCATGTCTAAAGTTTAATGTTCTGCTCAATAAGCGAGTTGATGAAGATCGCCTCAGATCAACTCTACTAGCATAATGAGCAATTCCTAACCGAACAAGGAAACGAGGCGACTACAAGAGATCCGTAGTGTAATTGTCCGTGTGTGCCGCGATGAGCTGGTTTGCTTTTGACTGTGAATACTGATTTATCGTTATATTTGACAGCCCAGTGTTATATTCTCTTCGCATTGCTAAACCTCGTGCTTCTGTAGCATCTTACTGAACTCTTCGAGGTCGATCTTGCCGTCTCCGTTGCGGTCCATCTGGTAAACCAGTTCGCGCACATCGTCGTGGTCTAGCGCTTGGCCCAAAGTCTTAAAAATTGAGACAAACTCGTCCACCGATATGGTTCCGCTGCCATCAGCGTCAACCATACGGAAAATCTCTTCAACGAGTTCCTCTTTGGAGTGGCGACTCTCTTGAATTCTCGCGCTGCACCATTTGTAAAAAGCCTCGAACGTGATTTCCTGTGGACCTTCGACCATAACGTCGTCTTTACCTGCATCACTGTCGCTTTCTAGCTCCTCCGCTACCAGATCCGTCATTAAGCGATTGAGCTGCATGTCGTCCAAGTCGTGCGTAATAGCTAGTAAAAGGCTGGCCATCTCATCTCTCGACACTGACCCTGAGCCGTCCACATCAAAGAGACAAAAAATAGTGTGAATTTCTCGTCTCTCCATCTCTCGACGGTATGCGTCGCCTCGCTTCTCTCTGGGAGTAAGATACGCTGCCAATGGAGACAAAGGTGGTTCAATTGTAGCCTTTGGAGATACAGTGAATGGTGGCGGAACCTGTTGGATAGAGCGTAACACCCCAGCAGTGACAGTCGGATCGAGATGCGTTGAAGAACGACGACGAGCCGCTTTAAATGTGGCGCTGGCATCGATAGGCATGATACTGGAACGTCTGCGACTGACTGGCATGGGAACTTCAGGCATCAACGCGATATTTTCCTTGAGTTGCTGGTCATTGCGACGAACATTTTCTCGAAGATGGATCTTCATTTCAGCGACGAAGCGTAGAGTTCTCAGTGTCTGTCGAGCGCGAAGAAGACGTGACACTTGAACGATAACCTGAGAGACTTTCATGTGCTCCACATTGAAAGCCAACAGTCCATCGCGTGCAATGCGAGTGGACATGAATGGCACTGCAATACTTGGGATCAAGAAGAGAAAGCACAGTAGAGCAGCAAATACTGGATGGTCACCGAAAAGCTCCGAGATCTGGTACGTTTCACGCAGTAAAAAAGTTGAGAGATGCAGCGCAGTGAGGAGAAAGACCATTCTAGTTGAAAAGAGTGCCAGTACGACTCCGTTGCCCCATCCACTACCAATGATGCTTCGCTGGCGTCGTTTAAGTTCTTTTTCAGGAAGATCACGCCCACCGTTGGGGAGGAGCTCGACGTAGGGAGGTACCCAGCCATCGGGGTCGCCGTAGTCTTTGCCGAGTTCCTCAGAATCGGCCAGTAGCCACGTTTTCTCGTTGGAATGTGGAGATATTTCAGCTTCTGGATAGGAGGCTAATCCGTGCTGGATGCGCCACGCAGCCTTGCGCCGCAATCTCTCGGCGTCGTGTTGCAGTCGTGGAGGGGTAAGTAAGCACCTCATCGCATTCACTCTTCGGTAGACGAAATCGTTCAACGCAATAAGCGAGAACCCAGCGATAAGGAGAATGGCTACTTCTCCCCGAGGTCCAGCGTGCCAGCAGAGACCAAGAAGAGCCACCAAGACGACGTCAAGAGCAAGCCATGTAGCCATATCGATCTGAATTAGTCTACCCATGACTTCACCCGAGATGATGGAGAGATACTCATTGAAAGGGAACCGAGAATCGTCTCCCTGGAGTTGGAATTCCTTAGCCAATTGTCGTGCTGTCTCCTCGTCGGGGTGGTTGGAGCGGTAGTCCATGAAGCGGCGTCGAAGTGCCAGGTAGACCACTTCTCGCTCCGCTTTCCTCGCTGTGGCAACTCGACGCCACGAGAATCGTTCCAGCCACGTCTTGGGTGGTTCTGAGGCGAGTGCGTACTCTGAGAGGACGGAAGGAATATCGGCACAGCTGCGCTCGAACTCTCGCCACTCGTGCTGCACGTGCATTCCGAGCCGTAGTAGTCCGAGACAGAGCACGAGAAAGATGACGATGAAGAGGAACAACGCCATGTGCAGCTTCTCGATGATCTCCTGTAACTCCGCGCTACCTCCAAGTACAGCCCTGGAGAGCCACGGCAGCACCTCGATCTTGGTGACAACAAAGAGCAGCAAACCGATGAAGCCCAGTGTCGTGAGCTCTCCGAAGACTGTGTTGACGAAGGGCATGTTGAGCTCGTCTGTGTGTTCCCTCAGCTCCTCCGTACAGATCTCGAATAGGATGGAGATAGCTACAAGCGTCGAGATAGTCACCGCCGCCACGACCCCAACTCGGCCACTATCCGGTTCAATCTCCCCTTCTCCTTCTTTACCTTCAGCACCCCCGTGCTCTTGAGCTCCTGCATGTTCTGAGGGCGGGTTTTCAATCACTTGAGCCACCACCAGAGCCAACAGCAGCACTAACAAACTCAATAGTCGCAGCGCTGGGCGTGCGTTGTTTGCCATCCTAAGCGAGGAATGGCAAAATGTGTCACTAACACTTACATTGGTCAGTGACCGTTGCCAAGGAACGCGTCTCTTCAAGATCCATCATACAAAAATCAAGACAAAAGATCCAAAACGAGAGTGATGGTTTTAGCCGTTAGAAACGTGTGGCCACGAACGCTTCAACATAAGTTGGCTATCTGTCAGTTCGTCTACAGTTGAGGGTAGACGGACTTGGGGCCGATGATGCCGCACGTGCCAGAGCTGCTGGTGCCGGCGCCGCGCTTGAGTCGCATGTAGCCTTCCTCCCCCCACTGCGTGCTCCACGAGTTCTTGATCTTGAAGTAGGACGGCGAGTAGCCCACAGCCAGCACAGCATGATCGAGCTCCGACGACGTGCAGGAGGACACGATGCCGCCCTTGTACTGCTTCCACGTGGGGTTTCCAGCCGCAACGCCCACAGCCACAGGTTGAGTGCTGATGGCTTGGACCAAGCCAGCGTCGCTCTCAGGAACCGCCACCACCTCGCGGATAGTCACAGCTTCACGGGTGCAGGACGACTTGCAAGTATCGCGGTCGCCCGAGTCTCCCGACACGTACGGGTAGGCTTTTTCAGTGCAAGCACCACCGGATTGTTGGATGTAGGCCAGCGCGTCGCCAGGGAAGCCTCCCTGGCAAGCGTACGAAGTCTTGTCGCAGTCCACCACTTGTTGCTCAGACAGAGGAGTCAGTGGCTGTCCAGCGAGGCAGATGGCGCTCTCAAGAGCAGCCACGGCTGCGAAGGCCCAGCATGAACCACACTGACCTTGGTTCTTGACTGGAACAACACATCCCGATGTGGTCCAGTCCTTGTCAGTACTGAGAGGGTCCGTTGAGTTGGATGGCGCTGCATCAACGAACGAGGTGGCCGCGAGAGCCCCAGATCCGCGCTGGTAGGACTCTCCGATGAACTTGACAAACTCGTCCTCCGTCATGAGTGTAAACGGCGTGTTAGTGGAGAAAACAGCCTCCGGGTTCGTCGCTTCAGCTTCCTCGATCATCAATTTGGTCATGAAGAAACGACGCAGTTCCTCGTCTGCCGCAGCAGCGACATCTCTCGAGGACGAAGCAGGAACGAAGCCATTTTGCTGTGCATACTGTCCAGCATCACTTTGCTTCCACGCGTTCAGCTCAGACTCAAGATCGGGCTTCTCTTGGAGAAACTGGACCATGCGGTCGGTCGGGACAACAGGAACTGCAGCGTCGGTAGCAGCCACAGCAGCGAGCAGGAGCAGAAGAGCGGTGTTCATCTTGACGTGTTGAGAGGACAGTGTGTTGCTGGAAAAGGAGCAAATTTGAAAGTGAACTGCAGTTCCGACCAGGAATTGCACACCAAGCGGAGATGTTTAGCAGATTGCAATGCATTCATGTTGGACAACCGTAACAGGATGTCAACTATGCCAACCGCGTCGATGGATATCCAAGGTTTTGTCGCGCTCGTTATCAGATTTTGACAACTAAATTCCTTCAACTTCAATCAATTTGTCAACAGTAGCAGTAATCGGAGTAGCCATCGCGGTTGACCGCTCACTTACTCCTCTTGACTTATTTGGGATGAATGACTTGGTCGACAAAACAGATTTCGCGGAAGTCCATGGCTTCTTTTGCTTGACGGCGTGATACCAACCGCGTCACTTTCATTTCCATCCTTTTCGTAATATTTCCGATAGAAAACATTCCTGGAGCAATAGTGGATCGATGCAGAGCCCACGACTTGGCTGAGTAGTGCAAACACAAGCCCTCGGTCCTTGTCAGGCACAACTTCATGTTCATCTTCATCATTCCTCGCCAATGATCGCTTTCTATGTGCAAGCACATACCCAAAGATCCAGGCTTCTCCAACAGCATCGCGACAAATAGTAGTGACCTTGATGTACAAAACAGACGATAGCGGGTCAGGTAGGATGACTTTTCCTTTGACTTTGCGCTTCGAAGGAATCGTGAGCGTGAATACGCCCCAAATATTTACTGCAGGACAAAACTCCTCGTCATCGTCGCGGAAGATCAAGTACTCTTCCTCTTCAGTTGCTTCAGCTTCTATTCGAAGCGAGTTGCTACCAGATTCTACTCCCGTGGCCAAGGCCGAGTAAAGTCGAAACGGGGAGACTGGTTGTCGTTGCTGCAAAAAGCACGTTGTGCACAGCTGCACTGGAGTGTCATGGACCGAGCATGTCTTCGGGTTTGAGAGAGTGGTGGGAGCAATACCGAGCTTGGCCTCCAGGTTGCGGCACACCACGTAAGGGCCGAGCCAGATTGTTCGTTGACTAAGCTTTGGTCGCCTTGTGCTGCCCACTTCAGTCACGGTTAATGCTACTGGAGTGGCACAAGAAGGAGAATCGTAGTCGTCTTTGATGCCATGTTTAAAAGCATGATGCCTGCATTGGGGTGGACGATACTTAGCTGTCGAAGAGCATGTGAGGCGTAGTTTGTACCATACCTTTTCAGTTCTCGTCGTGTGCGGAACTGCTGTGTTTCGCATCCTTTCTGACTGCACGGGAAGTACCCGACAATCATCTTGTTGTCCGCTTCTGACCAAGAAGCGTCTTTGGGCCAGTACGAGTGTAAATATTGATCCACCAAGGGGTTACCGCTTGCAAGTCGCTCTCGTCCCTCATGTGCCTCTACTTGGTGTAGTCTTGCCATCTTCCTCGACCTGATGCATCACAACGAGGTCAGAATAGTTAGTAAACATTCATTAGGAACGATGCCAGTACAATACCGTACGAGAAGCATTTGCCACACGCTGGATGGCCACACACGTAAGCATGAGAGCGGCGAGAAGTTATATGAATGATTTGTTCGGTTCGAGCTTCTCGAGGAAGAGTCTGCACATACAAAACAATTAGTTAAGGCATCATCTTGCTCATAGACACTTTTTCTTGTACCTTCAGCTCGTAGATGAGACGATGCATGTCCTGCGCGTTGTGAGGTGTTGGATCATCCCGGAACAGCATCATATCGTCTACTGTCGCCGCCTTGCCATGTCGAGGTGGTAGTTCTCTAAGCACTGCTGTCGTCTTAGGTCGAGTTGAGATTTCTGGAAGTTCTTCTTGTTGAGAACTTGGATCATCATCGCGTACACTAGTTTTCGAGTCGTGCTGAAATCCGAGCTTCGCCATGCGTTCCTCGATGGCATGAGCTCTCGCTGGCATGGGCTGGATCGCTTTTTCCAATGTCTTTCTTTCGCAGTCCATGCCAAATTCCCGGTAGAACATCTCCATCAATGGGGCTCGTGGCAGCGTGTTGATTGCTGCCACTGGTTTCGGTCTATCAGAGCGCTTACCGTATCGAATGTGGCTCACGACTTGAAGCCACTTGAGTTTCAACAGGGTAGAGTTCTTGAAAACGAAATCTACAAAGTCACGGTGGTCGCGCAGCAGGTTATGGCCCTCCCGACAGTCTCGCAGGCGATCAGCTATAGCATCCACAGTTGGCAAAGCCTCGATGTCCCCATTCTCACATGACCTTAAGCTGTCTTTCCACCGTTGGCTGGATTCAATCTCACGGCGAAGCTGATCAATAGCCGCCTGGATGACGATGCCCACACTTTCCTTCTGATCCATCTTGGCAGAAACGGTAGAAACATGGCGAAGACGCGCTAGACTCACATGCTGTTCCTTGCTCGCTTCAAGTCGTCCGAAAGAGCTTCTCAGACCCTAAAGTAGGGGCATAAACTCTAGTAAGATAAGCAACAACCCATTCTATAGGAACGTCATACCTTCGTGTACACGACGTCGAATCTGGCAAGTCTTTCTCCATTCAACTCCATCTGATGGATCGCAGTTATCTTTGCTCTGCGAATGATTCTCTTCCCCTCCATCCTCCCAACCACATCAACAACCGTACCAACGGGAAAAACTGCCTTAGCAATGGGCATTGACTGCGTCAACGGGTCACGCTTAGTAACCACATGTCTTCGCAGTTCCTTCCTCGCGACATCAGCCTCCATCGCTTCTCGACGAGCTTCGTCTGCTCTTAACCACTCTCGCTCTTCTTTCACCTGCCTCGCATACATTTCTTCCCTTGCTAGACTCCAGCCACGCTGTCCATCTCGGTCTTTGATCAAATCCAGAATGTACTGATACTTGTACGCATGGCCTCGGTTGGGCACGGGATCATTCGCAACTGGACGCATATGCTGCCTCCTGTCCTTATGATAAGCGAATGAAGGGAGCAGAAACCCATAGCGTTCATGACCCACCGTCATACTGTCACTGAGCTGTCCACTAGAGTCCGTTGCTGTAATTCCCAGCCACTCCCATCGCTTCAGCATCCCCGCCCAGCGCGTATTAGCCGTCAACCGTCCAATATGTCCCCTAAAAACACGCTGGATCGTCAAGACACCGTAACGTATCCGTATTTTCCGACTGGGATACGAATACGACCCCGAAGTCTGCCGCTCAACCACAACCTTCCCGTACTTAAAGCCATTGTGTGGGTTGATATAACTCGTGATGAAATGCACACCAGGATCTCCACGCCACATCCGACGTGTCAGCCATCCACGAGCGCATTTCTGAACCGACCGAGCACTCTCATAACGTTTCTTGATCAGCATATATCGGTGGTATTTCCTCCATTGTCGCTGGATCTTGACAGTGCCCAATAAACTACGCAGTCGCTCCGCAATTTCCTGTTCGTGCATATCTTGGCGTCGTTTCCACTGCGTAATGTGAGCGCGAAGAACTCTATGCGCTCGAAGGCGTCGAAACGTAGTCATCTGCTTCTCCATCTCAGTAAAATTCACCGCCGCTTGGCGCTGCAGAGCCTGCATATACGCGATCTCTTCTCGTATAGTTCTGCCAAAAATTCGCTGTCGATACCATCGGAAGTTGCGTTGTAGACGAATCGCAGCACAAAGCTCGCGGAACTTTTTCCTCGCCAAAGCACCACGTAACAAGCGCTGAATGTGGGGCACAGCGTTGTGTACACTCTCATGTTCGTGCTCAAATCTTCGACGTCCTATAAACCCTCGGACAAATCGCTGGATAACACGACACGCTTCCATCCGATCCAACGCAGCCTGTTCGTAGCGCAGCAGCTTCACTCGTCGACGAGCACGATTCCCTCGGAAAATTCTCTGGATGCGAGTCGCTACGACTTCAGCTCTTCGTAAGAACTGTAAGTGCCAGAGCGCGTCTTTAACGACTGTAGATACTGGGTTAGGATGGTTGAGGACTTGTTGAAAGGCTGTTGTAACGAGTACACGCGCCTTCTTGATGAATTTTTCCAGTGGTGAGCGTGAACGGGACGGTAGCACCACGACAGCGTGTGTGGTCTCCATGGAGATTGGTATACTGCCTGGTTCTAATGGAGGCGGATACTTTGGAGCGAGGGGATGTCGCTCAACGGGAGTCAAGACCTCTTCTTTTTTGCATTCTTTGATGCCAGGCACGTCGAACTCCGAGTCGATAAGCTGGACGCTGCCACGTTCTTCGAAGGATAAAGTACTCAAGTGTGCTTCCAGATGATTGCGACACATTCCAAAGCGGTTCTTCCGGTCGATTGAAGGGCATATTTGTGCTTTAGCCCCGTACGTTTGTATACACCGTGAAGCGTGGAAGCCACAGAAGGGTAGATACGAACCTTGCAACACTGGATGCATCAGCACTCGGTTCGTACAGCGCCAGACGTAGGAGATCTCCGAGTGCTCTTTCTGCCACGCACATAGACTTGTTGGATCCAATTTCCGCCCTATTTCAGCTGATCTTTTGTGTGGTAACTTCATCATGGCGTCGCGTTTCACTTCCTTCTTGGCGTTGGTCTCACAAACCCCGGGGATTTTCAATGCTCCGATTCGAGGAGGAACCTTTTGCAGCGTCACACGAGTTCCCGCAGTCACTTTGTAGCAATGCAGACACAAACCAAACTCGTTCGGAATTTCAATGACACAAGATTTTTCCATCGGGTGCTCGCTATAAGCGCATCCTTTGGCATGCCACAGACAGAAACGTTTCGTTGCAGTCGATGAAGTCTCCGCTTTCTTCTTGTCTGGTGGTAGTACGTTGCTGCAGTGATACATCTTGCCTCCAATGCGCTCTCTGAATTATTAACGTTAGTTAAGCGTACATTAGCTTAGAGACTGCTGCGACCTACCTCCAGCAGCACTGACCCTCGTGGCGATCGTTTAGTCCGAGTAATTGTCCTCCATGTTGGTCTACGTGGATGGTGCTGCTCATTTCCTCCTCCATCGCCGCTGTGACGTCTCCAAACCGCGCCTTCACGGTCGTCTGCACCTCTTCCTTATCAAATCTTGACTTGATGGCAGCATTCGCGTTCACCACACTGTCCTTCCACGTCCACTTTCCCTCCGCCACTGCTTGCTTCTTCCTGGCATTCCACTTGGAAAGAGACGTGTCTTCGTCGCCATAAGCATCCAGCGCATTACGCAGCATACGCTTCCCCTTCGTCTTCGCACGTGCAGCAGCCAGCGCCGTCGACATCGCTAATGGTTGCTGTATTCACACACACACCAACACACAGCGACTACCTCGTTCGCATTTTATCTCAAGTCGCTATTAATGCGATGCGTCTCCTCTGCAAAAGTATCAATAGTCACGTCTTGCCAGCAATAACATAAAGTTTAGTCAGGCTCATTCAGCACAGCGTTGCTATTATTTCTCAGCACCAGCTTCAGTCTATCCGATTCTTCTCACAGTACCCGTGACGCCGTCGAAGCAGAAGAAGTTGCAAATCGGCTCGTCCTTCTGCGAGATAGCCTTGATAACTTCCTGACCCATAATACCAGCCACAATAGCACAAATCGGCACAAGATCCGCGTCAGCAACACGCAGCAAAGCCCTACAGCAACACAAACACAGTAAGCTTCACTGTCTAGTACCTAAGTACGAATAGCGACGTACTGCAGCTCGTCCGGAGAGAGATAGTCTTCTTCTAGTCCATTGGCTTGGAACTGTTCTCTGGCATAGTGGATAAACTCCACCTCCTGGTTGTCCGTAATCTTCGTCATGCCCTTAAGACTCTTGTAGCCCTGTAACACTGCACGTATCACCTGTCAGACTCCGTCTCGTAACTCTTTTAAGCGTTCCACGTACGTTGGTTCTTGACGAAAACTTGAGGCAGTTGTGGTGCGCGTTTACGGGCGCTCTGTAACGAGCTCCATTGGATCTTCTGGGCCTCTTCCAGTGTCGGGAACTTGACTGTAATTGGGTCACTGGGCGCGCTATCAGCTCCCACGGCGTTGCGACGGAACGTGTGTTCACCCAGATCGGCGAATATGATGCCGTCGAAGCCGAAGCTCCTGGCGGAGTAGAAAGCGATTCCTAAGGAGCGACACAAAGTGTCCAGTCGAAACTCTGTGACTTGCTCGGCGCCTATAAGGCAGACGACCGTGAACTGCTTGAAGAACTCATCGGTAAGCTCGTCCAGAGGTTTAGTCTCGCTTGAAACCTGCACCAGGGGGTTCAGTTCCTGCACACGGGGCAGACAAGCCTCGGCGCGCTATTTGGGCAGTTAGAGTATCGGGTTAGAGTTAGAGATTAGGATAGAGATGTCGACAAACATTTTTACTGACATACATTCTTGCCGATATCTTCTTCAGATAGGAAGAACTGCGTGGCTATGGCTGCTGGTGTCACTGCCTGCGAGTCGTGCAGCGTCACACCCATACCTGCCAGCACGAGGTTCTTCACCAGCTCCGAGCCCAGAGCAGTGAGGCCACTGACTAGAACGCGTGAATTTTGAAGTCGCTTCTGCGCCTCTACACCCCAGAGACGCATCTGCCGGTCGTATACGGCTGCCTCGGCCGCACTGAACGTCGTCGCTTGCTCCGCCATCTCTTCCTTGGTGCAAGTCAAGATATGATGACCACACGAGATGGGCACCAATATGTGTGGCGCACATCATTGTTGTGTGTCGATCCTGACAACAACAAAAAATAGGAATCGCATAAAAATAAATAGCGAATGCTCAATGAGCATCACTCACTCATTACCAAACAGATTTCTAGACGCTAGATGAATTATGATATTTGCACCTAGTCCAACATCTCGTAACGATGTAGGAAGTAGGCTAGAAACTAGTGAAACCTAATTTAACAAAGTTCTGCTTGAGAAATTAAACGAGATTTTTTCAAACGTTTGGAAAAATAAAGGTAAAGGTATAGAGCCCTTGATATTATTTTCACAAACAAAGGTCAAGTATGAATTAAAAAAAAACGCCTCCTTCCTCAATCATTTTGAAGATTTCGTCATCACTTTTCCCTTTTTTTCTTCTTGTTGAGCAAAACCCAGGTCCATGTTCTGGGCAATCCAATAATTTCTGTTGTCTTGCTTCCCTATACCGATTATCCTCGCTAGCCCTGCATCATCAATGCCAGTCTTTTTAATCCATGACACCAGTAACCCATAGGGATCCTTCTTTAAATCAAAGACGTAATGGACCCAAATTTCCAAGACTGAGTTTTCAGAAGAGTGGTGCCTTCTTCATTCAATTTCAGCAGCTCGAACACATCCCTTTCAGTTTTGCCATTTTGCAACCATTTCTCCCTCAGAGCCTTCTCCATTTTCCCAGCAAAGTTGAAATCGCGCTGTGATGAAACAATCGTTTTCGCCAATTCTGCATCGTCGTCGTATTGCTTGCTAAGCTTTAAGAATAGCAAGTTGAAAAGATCCGTCTCCAGCTCTGATACTATTACGTAGTCCGGTCATGTCCCCAGTCTTGGACTCTTCATAGCATTTTCGCCTTTTGCGTCAAGTTGGAGAATAGTGTAAACGTCATCCACATTTTTCGCGTTGTCCTTCCATTTGCCTAGCTGGATCCATTCCAACCGTTTGACAATCGGGTTCTTACTTGTCAGCTTGCAATTGCCAACATACGCGCCAGCACGTCATAGAGGTGATGACATCGTGAACATCGCTTCTTCCGCTGGCCACTGGCGGTTCTTGTAGATTTTGAGCACAGCCTGAGTCTACTCATCAAATCGACCGCTCGAGAATAGTAAGTCGGAATTTACTTGATTAACCTTGAGGCTTTTAAAGAGGGTATTGACCTTGCTCTGCTTGTCTGGGTTAAGTACACCTTCACCTAGCTTCTGCATGTTAGCTTTATGAGCCAGATTTTTTACTGCCTCAAGAATCGGGATGACTCTTTCTTCCGAGTGGCACCAGTTGCTGCCGTCCTCAAGCGCCGATTGGCTTGAATGTTACTCGAAGTCATTCCAGGTTTGGCATCAATAGCTGTAGTTTCCAATACCAAACCAATGACGATGAGTAGAGCAACAGATTTCGAGAGTATGCCACACTGGGCACCTGTTGTGCGTATGGGCGTGGTCGTCATCGTGGCGACTGTGTGCTTGAAAGTAAGTTGCGAATTGAGTTTTAAGGATGAGTTTGACGATCCTTGTCCTTCGCCAACTTGGTGCTGCTGGGTGACGTTGGAGCCGCTGTTGGCGTGGCTTAATGATGTTGCTCTGGGTTTGAATTTAGAGTCTTTTTTCTACCAGCGGAGGCTCTATATTTCCTGCGCCGTTGATTACTACATTCTGTTGGCAACATCGCGGCAAACAGGGCGGTGAATGGCAATACTTGATGGCCTCCCAGGGTACATGTGTCATTTAGATAATATCTTTCATTTATTGACTTAAAGTTGTGTGCACGGTAGTGGCCATCAATATGTCATGACCATACAAATGTCTACCGCGGATAGAGTTCTGGTTCTTCGGTTCTACGGGGCGACGAAGGTTGTTGTATTATTTGTGTATGTGTGTTTGTGTTTTCATTTTTTGCCTCCGCGCGCTGCGCTGACACAGTGTAATAAACATAAATTGTATTTTTTCTGTCGTATCATGGTATATTGCCAC